ATTGTCAGATAGTGTTTGGACTGCACAAAATATAGTTAGGACATTAGGATTACCTGCACAGCGCCCATGATAAAGTGACACATCATCTACTGCCACATCAGACTGAGTATTCGAACCTCTTCGTCCTTCAAATATAATCTAAAAGTAAAGAGGTTACTGTTACATGGCACTATACTTGTGATGGTATACAGAGTGATTAGGTTACACTTAAATTAAAAGTATTGGACTGTTATTTATTTGCAGTGCAGTTTTCCAACATCAGATAGGTCTAATAAAGAAATGTCTCTGATAGGTAACACACCTGGAAAGTGTCTGTTGCTGTAATGTCCACCTGAGCCAGGTGCCACATATTTCCTTGGTCATTCTGCTTCCTCCAAATCTGATTGGCTATTCTGTTTTGGAGCAGGTAAACATGGAGGCCCATTGTATCTGCTGAGCCGTACATATGGTACCAGAACTGCAGACACTGAGGTCCAGAGTCAGAACACTCAGAGCTGATGAAACGCGCTGTGTCTCCATATGATGCACTGTTGGCGTCAATGTAAAGATAGTGGCCACCTGAATAGGGACATACATTTTTAGACAATAATATTGAGAATGATTCAGTAAATTACACATGTTCAAGTCATTTACATGGTTAAAACTGCTTGTTAAATTTCTTTGCATCGACATTTTTAACATTAAACTGAAAAAAAAGGGAAAAAGAAAACTATAATAAAACAAAAATAAAGAAATAACTAATGATCAAATGGTTTTAACAATGCAACTATGGTTAATATTAAACAGAAAATTAGTGTGTGGTTCACTTATTTTTTTCCTGGAAAAATAACTGTTTCTGGCTTGTGAAAGCTAATTACCTCCTGTGGTGTGATCTGAAGATGGTCCAGTATTGATCGTAGGAGTGGAGCCACTCTGTCTTGTCCAATCAAAAGCATCAGTTATCATCTGATTCCACTGACATAAATCTTGCTCAAAATCACAGTGCATCTGGCATGCTGTTAAAAAAGAGAAAGAAATATGATTACATCATTGATACAGTAATTTTAGATATTACGTAATGGATTTGTAAACCAGAATAAACTAGAATGGGAAACAAGAGCTGCTGTAAAATTATTACTATACCTGGCTGCAGAGGTGGCCGGCTATCTGGAGCTTCAGTAACATTGTTCTTATTAATTAGGTTGGTTGTTTCCTCCACTACGGGAGGGACAGTGATATTTATTATCGGTGGTTGGAAGGTAGCAGTGACCATAGGAGGCTGTGGAGCTGCAGTGGTTTGGACAGGGACTCTTGGGGGCGCTGTGGTATTAAGATCAGGTCTAGCTGATTGTGTTGTAATTCCACCTACCAGATCTGCAACAGTATAAAAATGTTATTAAGTGTCTGCATAGAAAGTGAGAAACAGCTTTTCAAACCTGGTAAAGTATATTTTGTTTTTTATATGCTTCTTACCTGAGCAGCGGCCGTGATAAAGCTTCAAATCATCTATGGCCACATCTGACTCATCATTGGATCCTCTGCGCCCCTCAATAATGATCTAAATGATAAAATTCAATTGAATGATACATTTGCAGGATATTTTCTTATAACTAGAAAGCAGGCCACACTCCATGGTTTGAAATAGGTCACCTGAAAAGGTGTGGTTGGTTCAATGTCCACTTGAGCCAGGTGCCACATATTTCCTTGGTCACTCTGCTTCCTCCAAACCTGATTGGCTATTCTGTTTTGGAGCAGGTAAACATGGAGGCCCATTGTATCTGCTGAGCCATACATATGGTACCAGAACTGCAGACACTGAGGTCCAGAGTCAGAGCACTCAGAGCTGATGAGACGAGCTGTGTCTCCATACGATGCACTGTTGGCTTCAATGTAAAGATAGTGGCCACCTGAACGGGGACATACAATCAATAAGTTAAAGATATGCTTTTAGGCAATAACACTGAGAATAAATAAGTACAGAAGTTAATTTACAAGCCATTTGCACTTGTTGCTAAAACTGCCTCATAAAGTTTTTCATACTGAATGGAAAAAAAAAAACAAACAAAAAAAACAAATCACCAAACTGGCTTTAATGGTGTTACTGTTTTATTCGGGAAGTTTAACACTATATAACCTCAGTATATTAACTTTATTTTCCCTATGTCAGAAAGCTAATTACCTCCTGTGGTGTGATCTGTAGAAGGTCCTGTATTGATAGTAGGAGTGGAGCCACTGTTTCTTGTCCAATCAAAAGCATCAGTGATCAACTGATTCCACTGACATAAATCTTGCTCAAAATTACAGTGGAATTGGCACACTGTTCAAAAAAGAAAAATATGATTATATAAGGCATAGAATAATTCTAGACATAAAATATCCATCCATCCATTCTCTTCCTCTTATCCTTATCAGGGTTGGGGAACTGGAGCCTAACTGAGCTTCCATTGGGTGAGAAGCAGGGTACACACTGGACAGGTCACCATTATATTGCAGGGCTAATACAGACAGACAACCATTTGCACTCACATTCACACCTATAGGAAATTTACAATCAACAATTAACCTAACCCCACTAACTGCATGTCTTTGGGCTGTAGAAAGAAGCCACAGTACCCCGAGAGAACCCACACAAACATGGGGAGAACATGCAAACTGCACACAGAAAGGCATGTTGGAGTAAAACTCATGACTTTTATGTAGTGAGTCAACAGTGCTAACCACCACCCCACACTGCTGCACAAATAATGGATGTGTAAACCAGAGGTGGGACCAAGTCATTGTTTTGCAAGTCTCAAGTAAGTCTCAAGTCTTTATCCTCAAGTCACAAGTCAAGTCTCAAGTAATGTCAGGCAAGTCAGAGTCGAGTCTCAAGTCACTGGTGTAAAAGTCAGAGTAAAGTCACAAGTCTGAAACTTTGAATTTCAAGTCCTTTCGAGTCTTTAAAAAAATAAAAATAAAAAATAAAAGAATGTTGCAGTTATATGCTAAATGTAAATATTAGACCATGTGATTTTTAAATTTCTGTTTTTCTCAACACATGACAAAATAGTGAACTTAGAAAATATACACAAATTGTGAAATTGCACCTCTATAAAATGCAGCTCAATTAAACTTAGCTCCAAGAATAATTTTCACAGACAGTTCTGAGATAAGCTGCATGTTATTCTTGGATGCACTTGTAGGACCGGCTTTAAAATAGCATGACAAAAATATCATACACATTAAAGCTAGTTGACATCACAAAGTTAGATGAAGTCAGCTATCTCATCGTAGCAAAAGAGAAGCACCACCTACCATTCTTTATGCAACTTCAACTGTCGGACAAAGTTGGAAGTTGTTCCATCTCTGTCCGTGATTCTCTTCTTGCATGTTTTGCATATTACATTTCGTTTTTTTTGTTGACTACTTCATAGTTTATGTACCTGAAAAAAATAACTCCTTGCAGCATTTTTGAGCGTTCTTTTTTTCTTCTTAAAAACTCTGGTTAATATGATTGGCTGTGCTACAGCTCACGCACACATACATACAGAGTGTGGTTGGAATAAATGAATGAATGAATTGAATTAAAGGTGCACACTTTCTATATAATATGTGTGTTAAATTTTAGATTTGGGGTGAAATATCAAGTCTTTTCAAGTAAACCGGTTCAAGTCCAATTCAAGTCCCAGGTCACTGGTG